TGCTTATGAAAATGAAAGACGGAGTCTATGCTTCCTTGGTTGCTCTGCACTCTAGTTCAGAATAAAGTGAATCATCACTCCGTTTGACACCACCTCATGTAACTGAAAATTTTGAGTTTTGATTTAGTTATCAACATAGTTTTTGTAGCATGCATTATTATCATCTGCACGACTTTGATAATCTCAATGGAGATTTTAATTACTTTTAGTTCCCCAAAAAAAAAAAAAATACTAAATTGCAAACAACCCATTGACTAATTACTACTAGCTATATCAGTCAATCTAGTATCATCTTGACAAGACATTGTTGCCTATACAAACTTCCCAATTCTTATCTTGGACTTAACAAGATTAAACATAATTAAGAAAACATAAGAAAATAAAAATCAAGCGACGACATAATTAAATATTTCAAGAATGTGTGTTTCAATACAAAGTAACATTGCAACTTCTGACATCTTCATTATTACATTTCTATGTTTGAATTTAAATTGGCTAATCAATAAAAGGGCCTCGTTAACAAGACTTAATTCATTCTTCTACTAGTTGACACAGATTTTATTCAATCAAAGCAATTTGATTTTGGGTACAGATAGCAGCTGCCATACCATACATAAATATTAGCAGATACCATATTTCTCATTTAATGAACTCAGCATACATAAATCAAGAACCAGATTGTTCTTTCTCTAAATTCTCATTGTGTCAAGGAATGATTTGCCATCAAGTTCCCGCGAAAATAGTCCTTTCATATAATCAACAAAGCTGATTCTTTTAAACTTTGCTTGAGTTTCAGGGGTCACAAGGCTCGGTGCTGGACCAAAATCACCATCTATATTTGGGTTGAAAAATGTGGCAATGGAGAGCCTTTCTTTCTTCAAGTTGACAGTTGCTCGATGTTCAATGCTTCGGTAAATTCCATTTGTCACAATCTGTCAAAGCAGGTAATGATAAGATCCAATGGAAACGATAAAAAGACACAACAGATCTCAATAAATACAACATAATTTATAGCCTATAGCTATACAAACCGTAGAGAGAACAATTTATAAATGGAGCGACTTTAGGCCATTTGACCATGTACAAATACCTCTAAAATGTCTCCAATGTTGATAACAAAAGCATTAGGGAGTGGTACAACAGGAATCCAAGCTCCATCTTTCTTAATCTGAAGACCTTCAATTTCGTTGACTTGAAGGAGGATGGTGAGTCCAACTGCATCAGAGTGGGGGTAAAGGCCTGTAACAAGCTCCGGCTGGGGGCAGGGAGGATAGTAATTCATCCTCATTGCTTGCATCCCTTCTTCGAAAACCATATTCATTTCCTCAGCTTTCATGTGTAAAGCTTTAGCCATTAGGTCTAGGATTTTCACGGCAAGGTTTTTCAATTCCACGGCATATTCATCTATTGCATCCCTGCAAAAATCAAGAATAAAAGGAGCCAAGTAACAACACTTTCAGTTCAGCTATCAGATGAGATTAAATGGTACAAATACTCGATACATGTTTCTACCTGAACTTAGTAGGAAGCTTGGGAATTAAGTGAGGCTTTCTCAAGTGAATTGGTAAGGTGATTGCAAAGAATAA